CTGATCCTGATCAGCTGTAGCAGTTGCTTTCTAAGACCTTATGATATTGAGCAGTTAAGCGTATAAACACGTAATCACTAAAATGCTGACTGCCCCCCACAACTACATGTAGGTGCTATTAATAGAAGCACAATTGTCAACAATGTTATATAAATGTTGCTATAGACATTTGAGTGTTTTTTTCTATGAAAGACCATTTGCGCTTTAAAGGTGACATATCATGAAAATCTGACTTTTCCAGATTTTAAGTGCTATAATCAGGTCCCAGGTGCATCTACCAACCAAGAAAACGTGAAAAAGATGAACCCAGTCACTTTGTTTTGGGAAGCCTTTTTCTGCAAGCATCTGAGAAAACGTGCACGTCAGATTTTGCTCCCTTGGTGACGTGGCAAAGGGGTCTCATTATAATAGTACCGCCCCTTAATCTGTAAGTTTACACCCACGGCGACGTCATTGTGATTTCGCAAGCGACAACAGTGTAATGCCATGGTGAAAGGCTAGCGGCTAGCGGCAGCAGCAGTTTTAACATTAAGTGACATGACATCTGGCACTCCTTATGTGTGTGTTTATGGGAAATGGGAAAATGCTTATGCAATTTAGCTTATTGGGTTCACATTCTGATCGTATCTGCTTGCTGGTATATAATATGCATCATCAAATCTTTTATTTACAAACAAAACAGTGTAGTTATAATAATAATAATACAATTGTGGGAACTTTGCATCATCATTTTAAAAAACACCGCGGCACGCCACTGAAGTACAGTGTAGTTTTACCGAGCAAACAGCAGAAACGGCGAGAAAAACCCTGGCAGCTGCCTTTGACTCCTGGCAAGAACTCTGGTAACTGATAGGCTACATAAAAATGTATAATAATAATATTACAATTGTGGGAACTTATTTTATAAAAAAAAAAAAGTGTAGTTTACAGCAGAAACGGCAACAAACGATCGTGACTCTGAGAACACTGAGAACAGTGTAGTTTTAGCGTGCAAACAGCAAAAATGGCGAGAAAGACCGTGGCAGCTGCAGTGGCAGCTGGGGATGCCACCGGAAGTGGCGCTGCGACCTGCCGCTGCCAGAGAGAGCGCCAGTCCCTGCTGTCAATGTGAGCACAGTGCAAATGAGAGAACAAGGAGGAATTGAGTATGTACTGAATTGCATTCACACTAGTCAGAGAGAGAAAGTTATGTTGCTGTGTTTTGCCATGTCATCTGACCTGCATCCTCCTCCTCTCTACATCAGGCACATTGATAAAGCCATCGAGAAACTGAGAAAGCGTCACGCAGAGCATATTCGTGTCTACGACCCAAACGGTGGCGAGGACAACAAGCGGCGACTCGTAGGTTGCCAGGTGTTCTCCAGCATAAATGATTTCTCAGCAGGTGTTGCAAACCGTGGGGCCAGCATTCGTATCCCCTATCGGGTGGCTCAGAACAAATGTGGCTACTTTGAGGACCGCCGTCCTGCTGCCAACTGTGACCTGCGCAATGGCCCGCACATGCATGCTGGAAGGGGAGGAATAATTGAAATAATGGATAATAATTCTGGAAACAAATAATGGTTGTTTAGAAGAAATGAATGCCAATTTAATATTGCATACTTATCATATTTCTTTAAAATTAAGAATTAAAATAAAAATCAATCAAACAACCACTAATAAAAAACAATGTACACTTTTATGTGAATTGAATTCTATCACTGCTGACTATCCGCAACGCGGAATTAATGTGCAAAACGACCGATTCATTAGAAGAATAACGAAGTGCAGTAAACGCTAAAACCATTTTCGCGACACTCAAATAATATGATAACAAATTACTTGCAGCATCAAGCAGCATGACAGTTTTTGTAAATGTAAAATAACTGGACGCGGATGACACCGGAAGTCTGGCACATTCAAGTTACAAGTTACAAACTGCGCCTGCTCTTGTAAATCAGGATAATAAACAATATTCGATAATAATAGGTGGATCATAGAACAATATCTGGAATCTGTGTGGTATGCACGTGTCAATTGTTAGGATTGCTGTTCTTTTGAGTGTCCATTAGGGGGCGTAACAGGCAAGTGTTTAGAACTCGGGTAACACTTTGAATACGCCTAGAAATGTTTCAAGTGTTATTGCTTTCTCAATTTAGTTTGAAAATAACGTATTTGTTAAAAAGTTTACCGAAATGTATTAATAACTTAATTTATTAATCATTATCTCAGTCTTGTTTCCCAGTAAAATATCTAAACATCCATAAAACAAGATATTTAGTACAGAATAAAATTGGCATATGCTATTTCCCCCCCTCAAGAATAGGCCATCTTTAATATAATGTATGTTGCCTTATTTCATTGGAAGATTTGCTTGTTTAAATCTCATAAAATGCATTGTTAATTAAATGTATTATTATGTACTATCCATTGTATTATATATTATACAATGTATTATAATTAAATTAATTATCTGTTATTATATCACAGCTATTCATGCAGTGAAACTTAAGGATCTGACAGTAGATGTTTATAAAGCCTGATGCTCAAAGCAATAAATCTGATTAGATGCTGATGTTGGTTACTAGCACTAATTTTCTACCTCTTTCACACAAGTGTATTAAAACAAATACCAATTTGACATAATTCTTTAAATCTGTTGAGACGTTTATAAAGTTGTTATTTTTTTCTGTTATGTCCACAAAGCAGACCTCTGAGAAGAAGAAGAAAAAAATTGCTGTTGTCAGCAGGCACAGGAGATGGGTTTAAAGTGGCTTCTATTTTCAGCAGATGAGCGATGTGTGGAGCGCAGGAGTGTTCAGTCCCCATCATGAGGTGAATTTATTATTCCCAGAACAATGGCAGAAGGGATGTCTGTTCAGTTTTATCAATGCTTGTCGCCAGACAGATGGAGTTATGGATTTTTGCTAATTTTCCTGGTTGGTTATGGAGAAAGCCCAGTGTGGTGCTGTTGTCAATAACGTGACACTAATTTTTTGCTTTTAGTAATTAAAAAATACACAAACTCAATGCAATTCATACAGATTATTTCTTGAATACACCTCAACTATAAGGAACATGCGAAGAGTTCCAATGCAAAAGCCTCTAAAAGCTGTCTTGGTCAAAAATGAGATAACGATACTGAGTGAATGCTCTCCACATATAGTATATGTTCATCAAGTACTTTCACTTCAAATGTGCTAAATCCCAGCCTTAACCCATTCAGAAGTACCAGAACTTACATAGAAATCTATAGATCGTAGCCAGAAAGAAATGCTAATTTTAAAGATAAACGTCAGATGTACTTAGAGGCATTTTGCATCTGAACTCTTCATGTTTCCATATTCTGGATAAATTTGGATATTTTTGAGGTGTTTCAAAAGTCAAAAATATGCATGTGGTGCAAGCAAGAAATAAATTTTTTGGAAAGAAAAAAATTCTAATTAGCTTGGTATAATCTTAAGTTTAATTATTATTATTTATAATATAATAAATTATAAATTATGGCTTATTTTTAAGCAGTTTTGTACATACATTAGATAGATAGATAGATAGATAGATAGATAGATAGATATGAACACTAGCAAATCAAAATGATATAAAACTTTTTTTTAAATGTATAAAATAAAAATCATCACAGTAATGAATGCTTTGGATGTGCATGCCAATCTTTCAAGAACTAATGCAGTTGTAAGAATATTGTAAGAATGTCCTTGCATTCATTCTTGTAAGTTTAGCATTCAAAGGAAATATTAAATACCAGGGGTGTGGACTTGACACACTTTCATTTTCGCTTTCATTTTCATTTTTATTTGTAATAAACACCTCTCTGAGACCTGTTTTTGTCAGATCTCCACAGTTTTTGTTCGATCAGTTACATATTTTAATTGCATGTGCTTTTTTTGACTCGGACTCGAGTCCCAAATTTGATGACTTACGACTCGACTCGACATAATTAAAGAAGACTTGAGACTCGACTTAGACTTTGACAGCAATGACTCGAGACTTGACTTGGATTTGAGCCCTGTGACTCGGAAAGACTTTATGATCAGATCAAAGTCGTTATAGACGCGTCTCTGCAGTGTGCTTGCGCTTGACTGGCAATAAACCAGAGACTGCGTTCAGGGAGCGCTGGATAGGCTAGTATACATTACTGGAGTAATAGCATAACTTACGATAAAAGAACAGAGATAAAAAAAAAAAAAATTACATGATTCGTCTAGTAGCGATCTCCGCTCGTGACACATGAAATTGAACTATGCCAAACATATTCTACCTGCCTTCCTGATATAAATTACTATGAATTTGATATGGTAATTAATACTGAGACACTAATTTGTGCAAAAAGCACTAATGACTTGTTTAAGACTTGAATCTTAAAGCTGAGGACTTGCAACTCGACTTGGACTTGTCTGTCTTGACTCGGGACTTGACTCGAGACTTGAATGCAAAGACTCGAGACTTACTTGTGACTTGCAAAACAATGACTTGGTCCGACCTCTGTTAAATACATTATGTCGTCATACGATTATTTGCAACAACCTTGGGATCATAAAGAGCAGGGGGAGTCTGACTGTCCCGATGACGTCAGCGCTCTTGGGTGGGCGGAGAGATGAGAGCCGCAGGTGGGACGTGAAAGTGGCCGCGTTTAGTTTTACCGACGATCTCATTTTCCGCGAGTGCTTGAGTGGTGCTTCTGAACGACATGGGGAAGCTTCAGGAATTCGAGATTACTTTCACTAATAACAAAGTGGTCTACAACCCCGGGGAATCCATATCAGGAACTGTGAGAATTAAAACAAGCCAGTCATTACAGTTTAAAGGTAAGCGACGCTGTGTATCTTACATATGCTTACAATAGGAAAAATGATTTGCATGGACAACACCGCTGGTAAGCTTCGGGGTTTCCCCGTTCAAGTAAAATTAGGGTGTTAATGCACATGGATGTGTCGCTATATGAACGTGTTGCATGTTTGCATGGTGCCATTCAGCATCCTATGCAGCTCCGTGACAACACCGCTGGTAAGCTTCGGGGTTTCCCCGTTCAAGTAAAATTAGGGTGTTAATGCACGCATGTCAACATGGATGTGTCGCTATATGAACGTGTTGCATGTTTGAATGGTGCCATTCAGCATCCTATGCAGCTCCGTTTCATATACAGTGCAGTACTGGTTCATAATTCATATTATGTATATTTATGGGAAATAGGATCTCTGATCGGAAGGCATCAACGTCTAGGCTCTTGTTTTAATGAACGTCAATGTACATCCTGTTTCTCCTGCGCTACTGGTTTCGGTTCGATTGCACAATCGAGCCGCTTCTGGGTCGTTGAAGCACGTTGTATATCGTGTGCGTTTCAACACGTGGGTTTTGATGTTTGTCATCACTTCATTTTCATCTTTAAACGTCCACAAATGAGCGTACCTTCAGAACTGACAGGCGAAAAGATCCTATAGCGTTCATCCAGGACGCGTTCTTGCGTTCAAAAACGGCTAAACGGAACGCGTATTAAAACGCAACGCGCGTGTGGTGACCAGCTAAAGGCGACTAAATGTAAATGTACTCTAACCAAAAACGAAAGAACACTTGAACGACCGCTAATTACGCAAACATGTTCTTCAAGAAGTTAACTGAATTATGTCAGTGGTTTGGTCATACTAATGAACATCACACATATAAGAAGATATGTTGACATTTTTAAAGTCGTCATAAATGTGTGATGCATTCAAGGACATTCAGCGGTTCGAGTTAAATTTCCTTGTGGCACCTCTAAACAGTTTACTGTCAAACAGCTCTTGAATCAAATGTTTTGTGATATGTAAATCTCTAATAAAGTGCTAAATAATCACAGTGTTTTGATCAGTGTTGGGGAAAGTTACTTTTAAAAGTAATGCATTACAATATTGCGTTACTCCATAAAGAAGTAACTAATTACGTTACTTCGTTACTTTTGTATGGAAAGTAATGCATTACGTTACTTTTGCGTTACTTTTAAAATCTGTACAGGGCTTGTTTGTTTGTTTTTAAAATAAAAAAGTTCTATTTTTGGCAAATATAAAAGCCTTTTCACACCAAAAGTGAAATGAATAAGCCTCAGGCTGAAGGGAAAGTAAATTTACGTCCGTACAGTAGAATGCAGAAGAAGACATTTCAACACACTTCAGCAATAAAAAAAGACAAATGTTTAGAGTTTAAATGTTGTCTAGAGTAATTTGTGCTTATTAGTATGGTTGAATTGGATCATTGAAGGTCAGAAGCAAAGACATTGGTTAATAGAATGGGATTAAATACATAAAGCATATTTGTGTTGTTTAACATTTAATTATTGCAGGTTTGCGTCATATTCTGAGTTGCATTATTATTATTCATTTTGAGGAATACTGAATCTGTGTTTTTTTTTGTGAGTGAGATGAATGAATGCATATTCATATTTATTTCAGAACTACAGTAACGTCTTCTGATTTCTCTCAACTTGGGAACAGGAGAGCTGTCAATCAATAAATTGGAAAAAAAAAGTAACTTGCGTTACTTATTTGAAAAAGTAACTCAGATATTATCTTGTAAATTAAAAAGTAATGCGT